ATTATTAAATTAATTCTTGTGTTATTGTTACTTAAAGATGAATATCTAAGGATTCCATTGCCTACATCCAGGGAACCAACTACTGTCAGGCAGACCCCAGCTCACGGAGAGCCTTTGTGTGTCAGAATAGAACTGTCCTCCATTGGGTTTTCAGTGGCTGCATTCTCAGAAATAGATCACCAGGTCTTTCTTCTGAGGTGCTTCTGGGTAGACTCAAACCTTCAGCCTTTCAGTTAGCAGCCAGGCATGTGAAGCACTTATATGTCCCCCTACATCCAGAGAGACCACTGCATAGTCCAAAGTGGGTGTGTTTTATGTGTGGAATTGCTATTTATATGGATATATATTCATTTTGTCAGTGATTTTAAACTCATTAAGATGCTAACATTTATCCCTTAGTTATTTTTCTTCAAATGTTGACAGTATCAGTGCAGAAATCTTAGAAGAAAGTGTACTAGACTGGGAACTAGGTCTAGATCATTAATCATTTCTATAGTCTAGAGAGGAATGGCTTTTACCCTATTAATACTTGGATGACTTGGGTAAGCAAGTGTGGGGATAAGGAGGCCAGGTGGTGCAATAGTTAAGCACTCTGTTACTAACCGAAAGGCTGGCAGTTGGAACCCACTAAGGGACTCCAGGGAAGGGAAACCAGGCTGCTCCCATAAAGATTACAGCCAAGGAATCTCTATGCAGGCAGTTCTACCCTGACACATGGGATTGCTACAAGTCAGAATTGACTCTAGGACATCCAACAACAACAGTGTGGATTTAAGCCCTAAGGCAAGATAACTTGTTCTGCAAACCTGAGGAATAGAACTTAGAGTTCCCAGAGGCAATTTTGAGAGAAAGGAGGATGAGGAGGAGAGTGAGCAGTAACCTGGGGAGATAGTTGTTGGTTGAAGGTTTGAGTCCAACATATTCCACTGTTACCTGGTTTCCACATCTACTGATCTCCTGAAACTGACCACTTGAACTTCCAAGATTCAAATGGCTCTGGGTCACCAAATCCAACAGGGACAGAGCCTGCTAGTTGCCTCCTAATATTTATTTTCCTTTTTTTCCTTTGGAATAGAATCCAGGGCAATCTGTCCACCTGAAAGGGTCTGTTTTCCAGCTTCCTTTGCCCCTACTAGTGGCCATCTATCTCAATTGTGGTCAATGAGATACAGCAGAAATGTGGAATGGCATTCTCAGGACACTCTTTAAAAGGACAAAGTCATGCTCTTCTCTTCCCATCCTTTCTCATTCTTTCTAAAATACAGATGTAATGCCTGGAACCTTAACAGCCATTTGAAACCAGGAAATAACTTTGAGGAAATAAACTAAGTGGGATGGTACAGAAGATATAAGGCCTTAAGTCTTATCCTTAATGACACCTGAGAATTGTGACACTAATTGAACTAATGACTTCAAGACTCCTTTATACTAGAGAATAAACACTTGTATGTTTAAGCCACTGTAGCAGGGTCTCTGTTACTAGTAGCTAAATACAGTTCCTAATAAATACACCAGTGGTCTCTCATTCTTCTTTTATTCATTCATTACGTAAATATGTGGTGAGCAACTACTTTGTGCCAGGCACCATTTTAGCCACTAGGGATACAGTGGAAATAAAATAGTTTGCCAGGTTTTAAATATTCATTAAGGAGCTCTGGTGGCACAGTCCTAAAGCATCTGACTGCTAACCAGAAGGTTGGTGGTTCAAACCCATCAGCCATTCTGCAGAAGCAACACTGGTCAATCTACTTCCATATATTAGACACAGAAATAGAGTAGTTAAGGGATAGTTGTTGTCGTTGTTGTTTAATTCTGTAGCTTGAAGGAGAGGCTGGGGGATGTTGTTTTAAGATTTATCAGCCTATCATTACTATTTAGACTTCAATAAGATCATCTTGGGGAAAAGAAAGGAATAAAGAGAAGTCTAGAACTAAGCCCTGGTACACTCTAAGTTTGGAGGTCTGACAGAGTCAGAGGAGGAAGGCCAGTGGCAGAAGGAAAACCAAAGGAGCTGCTGTCATTGAAGCCCAGTGAATAAGGTGCTTCAGGGAGGAGGGATAGTCACATGCTATTGAGAGGCAGAGTCAGGCACAAACAGAGAACTGACCGTTCTTCATCCCCAAAGAGATCGACAATGAAGCTAGTGAAGCTTCAGGGCCCCTCACTAACACAGGCACCTGCCAAAGCTTGTGCCTAATTTTTATTTGCAGTTTTGTATTTTTTTAACCTAAAGCTATTGTTAGTTACCATCAAGTTGGCTCCAATTCATGATAACTCTCTGTACAACATAACAAAACATTGCCCAAATCTGTGTCATCTTCATGATAATTGGCAGATTTGAGTACAGGGTTCTCATCTTCCAGTACTATATCAGACAATATTCTGTTGTGATCCATAGAATTTCATTAGCTAATTTTCAGAAGTAGATTACCAGGTCTTTCTTCCTAGTCTGTCTTAGTCTGGAAGCTCTGCTGAACCCTGTCCACCATGGGTGACCCTGCTGGTATTTGAAATATTGGTGACAAAGCTTCCAGCATCATAAAGAGGATTGTTTAAAAAATTGTTTATACTCTCAGGTCCCATAAAGCCTAGATGTGCCCCATTTCACTTCTTTGTGACATTCTATGTTCTTCATTGATATTATTTCTTTCTTAGCTTCTTGTGACACTTCTCATTCTCTTCCCATTTTCCTAAATGAAAACATATCCTAATGTTTGACCTTATCCTTGTTCTTTCTACACTTTACCTTTGTCAACTTATTCATTCATACTGTCCTTATATGAACAACTCCTAAATGTGCACTCCTAGCTCGGATTTCTACCTCCCAAATATGAGCAGACCGAAGACTTTTTTTTTTTTTTCTGCTTTTGAGTTGTGGTGTTTGCAAAGAACACTGAAAAGTACCATGGACTGCCAGAAGAACTAACAAATCTGTCCTGGAAGAAGTGCAGCCAGAATGCTCCTTGGAAATGAGAATTGGCAGACTTCATCTGACCTACTTCGGTCATGTTGTCAGAAAGGCCCATTCCCTGGAGAAGGATATCATGCTTGGTAAAGTGGGGGGTCAATGAGAAAGGGGAAGGCCCTCAACAAGAGGGATTAACACAGCGGCTGCAACGATGGTCTCAGCTATAGCAAGGATTATGAGACTGACACAGGACTAGGCAGTGTTTTGTTCTGTGGTACATAGGATCACTATGAGTTAGAACTGACTTGACAGCACCTAACAAAAACAACAAAACATGAGCAGAGAATTATTCCCTTTTGAATGTAATTTCCATGGTAAATTTTTATCTTTTTATATAGCTCATGAGCAGAAAATGAAATTGATACAAAGGAAGGAAGTATCCATATGCTTGGCCCTGTTACTATTCTCTATTGGCATGTTCTCTCAGAAAATAAATAGAATACAGACAGTCTCAGATATCTATTGCTGAATAACAAAGTACTCCAAAACTTGGTGACTTACAACGATGACATTTATTATTTCCTAGTTTCCAGGTGAAGCTTAGCTGAATCTTCTGCTTCAGTGTCTCTCACAGGCTTGGCAGGGGTTTTAATCATCTCAAGGCTCAAACAGGGAATGATCCACTTCCTAGCTCATTCACATAGTGTTGACAGGACTCAGTGCATCACATGTTGTTGGACTGAGGGCCTCAGTTCCTCCCTGGCTTTTGGTAGTTCCTGTCAGATTGCATGCAACACGATTTAAATTATTGATTTTCAGTATATATTGAGATGCATTTTGTGGAAGTGACCCTCCTCCCCTCCCACACTGAAGAATTGCTATGATCATGTAAAATATGACCTTTAAAAGCTTACTAAGAACCGTGCTATGGTTTATTCATTCATATAAGACCAATAGCCTTCTTTTGTATTGCAGCTAAGTAGAAAATACTGTGTCTGTTGCATTTCCAACTTTGTGGACAAAGCCTGGCCAAAATCTCTCCCTCCATTAAACAGGAAAAACTTCTATCATGGTATAACGTATTTGTATGAATACATAAAGTCTAGTTTCGCAACTCACCTACATAGGAGTTTTCCTCATGCTACCAGAGAAAGTAAAGCAGACAAACTAGCTTATCTTAATCTCTCTGAAAATTTCTTGTTGTTGTTGTTGTTATGTGCCGTCGAGTCAACCCCCGACTCATAGCGACCCCTCCTTGGGTTTCCGAGGCAGTATCACTACGGAAGTAGGATTGCCCAACCTTCCTTCCGAGGAGTGGCTGGTGGGTTTGAACCGCCAGCCTTCTGGTTAGCAGTCAAGTGCTTTAGCCACTATGCTACCAGAGCTCCTGAAAATTTCTTAGTGATTTAAAAATTAGCACACGGCTTATAATTAATCTTAGTAAACATATGAGCTTAATATATGTATTGGTTTACTTTTACACATATTGTAAAGATACTCTCCCTTGTTTTAACACATTTTAGGCGCCTAGCTATCTTAGGACCCCTGGAGGCACAGGGTTGCTCCGCAGGATAAAGATGTGGCAATTTACTTACAGCCTTGGAAACTTGGCAGTCGTACCTTGTTAAACAGGGTCGCTGTGTATGGAAATGAACTCAAAGGCAGTTTTGAGCTAGCAATCTTGGCCTTTCTGTGTAGTTCCACCCCACACCATAGAGGGCAGAAGAGGTCCTTCCTCATTCCCGTTCTCCACCTCGCCTCTTTCTATCAGAACTGACCAAGCTAATAAGAAAGGGGGAATAGTCATAGAGATGATAGATTTGTGTTCAGTATCGCTTTCTTAAAAGAATTCTCCACCCCTATAATCAGTTACATTAAAGCTCATTGTAAGGTTATAAATCTCAACATATGGGAAGTTACAGGAAAGCTCCTCTAGGCTGGTTCTTGGTTTTCTCCCCCACCCGCTGTCGTGGACAATGGTACGGCGTGGCTTGCGGCGGCTTGACCCGGAAGTCGCAGAGGCGGAGGACTGTGCTCGCTTCTTGGCCGGGAAGCTACCTGCTGCATCGAGGCCTTCGGAACCGCTGTTTCCTCCCGCCCGGGTCCTCACTGGTTTATGGGTCTCCATGGCGACGGCAGGGACCTGTCCAGGAGGCAGGCAGCCGGGGTGGGGCCTCGGCGGTCCGGGGGCTTCCGTGGTTGCGCCGCCGTTTTCGCTGCTGTGGCTGCCGTGTTCACCCTCACGCTGCCCCCGTCGGTGCCGGGGGGAGACTCGGGTAAAGTACTCTCAGAGTCGTCCCTCCTGCGCCTCTCCCCTGGTCCTGGAGCGGGCAAGGGCAGCGTCTGACCCCAAACCTCTGGACCTTTCTCCACCCTGGACCTTTCTCGTCAGCTCGGGCCCTCCACCCACCCGCCTGTGCCCAGCTCAGGGTTTTGCGTTCCAGAACCAACTTTAGTTTCCATTCTTCTTAATATGTTTCCCTTAGTTTTCAGGCTTTGGAGACGGGGCTTGTTGGTTTCGCTTGATAGGTCTTAGCAACGTTTCCACTTCCTCAGGTCATTTTTCTGGTCCTAAGTTTTTGCTTTCCATTTCTTTGTTGTTATGTGCCGTCGAGTTGGCCCTGATTCATAGCGACCCCTCCTTGGGTTTCCGAGGCAGTAGCACTACGGAAGTAGATTGCCCAATCTTCCTTCCGAGGAGCGGCTGTCCATTCCTTTAGTACACCGATAATACTTACCGAGTCCAAGTGTTTCAGACAAAAAGAATACAGCAGTGGTGAACAAGTTTTACGGACAGTATTCTAGCGAACGCAAAGATTAAGTACGCAAATTACTGAATAAACCAGGACACATTAAGTAGCAATAAATTATAGAAACACCAAAAGGGGCACATGACTGAGACTAGGAGTGGGTTTTGGCTGCTTCAGAATGGCTAGCCAGGACAGGCTTCTGCAAGAGGTGATTGTTGTTGTTGTTATGTGCTGTCGAGTCAGCCCTGACTCATAGCGACCCCTCCTTGGGTTTCCGAGGCAGTATCACTACGGAAGTAGGATTGCCCAACCTTCCTTCCGAGGAGTGGCTGGTGGGTTTGAACCGCCAGCCATCTGGTTAGCAGGCAAGTGTCTTAGCCACTTAGTTGAAACCTGAAAAAGAAGAACTAGCCACGCAGAAATTTGGGAGCAAACAGAAGAGTGGAAGCCAGATAAGGCATAAAGCAAGCTGCTTCAGTTAAAAAGCAAAGCTCCACTTACGGACTCTTGCAGTCATTTATAATTGTTTTATATTTGGGAAGTGAACAACCATCTAGGTTTTCATTTTGTTTTGCTGCCAAATTAAATAACTATCCAATAATACCTGATAATGACCAGTAATTTTGCAGAATGTTGTTCTAAATTCAGATAGTGAGACTGACAAATTGAGTGTATTAGTTATCTGTGCTACATGACAAGCTACTGCAAAATTTAGGGCTTAAACCTTTTTCATCTCAGTTTCAATGGGTCAGGGATTGGTAACAACCCAGAAGGTTGTTATCAAGGTGTGGGCTGTGGCTGCAATCATCTCAAGACTCAATTTGGGAAGGATATACTTTCAAGTTCAATCTAGTGGCCATTGTCAGATGACATCAGTTACTTAGCATGAGGGCCTCTCCTAGGCTATGTGGCATCTCTCAGAGAGAGACCTAAGCCCCACATAAGTCTGGTTCTTCTTTGTGGTGTGGTGCCTAAGGCATTTGACTGCTAACCATAAGATTGGTGGTTCAAACCCACCAGCCACTCCACAGAAGAAAGGACAATCTACTTCCATAGAGGTACTGCCTTGGAAACCCAAGGAGGGATCACTATGGTCAGTTCAACTGGATGGCAGTGAGTTGTTTGCTTTGTTGTATCTTGGGATATCCTATGGCTTCTGCCTTATTTTATTCTTGGAAGCGAGTCAATAAACCCAGCCCACATTTCAAGGGAGGAGATTACACAGGTGACAATAGCAGGAATTGGCATTTGAGGTTATTTTGTCTGTCCTCTATTGAGGGAGCTCTGGTGATGTAGTGTTTAAGGCATTTGACTGCTAACCAGAAGGCTGGCGGTTCAAACCCACCAGCCATTCCTCAGAAGGAAGACCAGGCAATCTAATTCCATAGTGATACTGCCTCGGAAACCCAAGGAGGGCGCTATGAGTTGGATCTGACTCGATGGCAGTGAGTTTGGTTTGATTTTTGGTGGTGGCTTAGTGCCTAAGGCATTTGTTAACCAGAAGGCTGGCAGTGGAAACTCCCCAGCCACTCCTCGGAAGTAAGACTGGGCAGTCTACTTCTGTAGAGATACCACCTTGGAAACCCAAGGAGGGGTCACTATGAGTCAGAAATGACTCGATGGCAGTGAGAGTTTATCCTCCATTGAGGATCCTTGATGTTCCATTTTTCAAATAATTAACTTTCCTCTTTCTGGGCCTATTGGACTAACAGAGATAGTGTTTCATTAGTGTGGTGGCATGGAGTTACATCTGTTTTCAAGGTTTATATTAAACCGTAGAAATAACTTTAGAGTAGTGACATTGGAGAACATTACTCAGAGGTTAGTTAGGACTGTACCTTTCAAAAGGTAATTGACAACTGCTTTTCATGAATGATTGAACTTGAAACATGGGAATAGGATGAATAGCTAAGTAACTAACATTTACTGAGCATTTGGTATGTGCTAGCTCTGGTAGCATAGTGGCTAAAGCACTTGACTGCTAACCAGAAGGCTGGCGGTTCAAACCCACCAGCCACTCCTCGGAAGGAAGGTTGGGCAATCCTACTTCCGTAGTGATACTGCCTCGGAAACCCAAGGAGGGGTCACTATGAGTCGGGGCCGACTCGACGGCACATAACAACAACAACAACAGGCACTGTTGCAAGTGCTTCACATGGATTGTTTTATTTAATCCTAGCTATCCTATGGAATAGGTACTATTACTATCTTTTACAGAGGAGAAAACTAAACTGTGCCCAAAGTCACACAGCCAATAAGTAGGGCAGTAGGGAAAAACCCAAGTAGATTGACTTGAAAACATACTCTTTTAGCCTCTACTCTTTGTCAAAGAATTTCATGAAATTCATTGTTAAATCTGCCATCACATGCATAGTGATATTTGGAGTCTATTTAAGATCTAAGATTGCTGCCTTGCCTCAACTAATACTGTATTTAATATTTTCCCCAAAGAATAAAGTTATATGTTTACCTTGAGTTACCAAACTTTTTAAGGTGTTCTCATTTGTTTAGTTTGACATTAAATAAGTGGTTGCTTCTAATATTATGTTCATTTTCTGGAAATGATAAATAAATTGCTTTCCAAGTATTTGCCAGTATGGAAAATTTGCATAATCATATCTTTGATAATTTTGTTTATATATTTAATGTACTCCTTGGATGTTTGTGTTTATGACATAATTTCTAACAATAAACAGAACCCATCACAAAACCAGTATAAAGCATGCATTCTTCTTCCTGATAAGTCTTGAATCCTTCTCTTTAAATCCATCACATTGTGAGACCTTGCCAAACTTAACCTATGCACCATGGATCGTTCATTTATGTGAAAGTGAGTCCAGGAAGCCTCTCAGTCCAGTGGGAGCAGGGAGTGGAAATCTAGGCTTCACTTTTGTTTATATTCTCGGGGTAAAAATATTAGCTTGTATAGGTGTTTGTATATTTTGAAGATACTGCCTTAGCAGACTTGATAAGAGAATGTGATAGTGTAATTAATCTAAAATGTGTAATATAAACTGAACTTTTTTTTTTTTTTTTAAATGTTTATCATCCGCTGACAGTCTGTCACAAAGCAGTGGTTCTCAAGCTTCAGTGTACTTCAATTTCAGAATTGCTTTAGAAGCTTGAGGGGGGTGGGCCTTACTGGATTAGGTAGGGGTGGGATGTGATCAAGGAATCTTTGCTTTTAAAAGCTCCCAGGTGGTTCTGATGTAGATAGTCGTAGACCTCTGAGGAAGCCCTAGCGTAAAGGGTTGGGGAGAGCAAGGACCCAGGAAGCGCGGTGAGTGTTGTTACTATGATCTTCTTATTATCACATTACATTTTAAGAGCAGTATTTCCCTTTAGCTCTTTACCAAGGATTCATTTATAGGTTTTAATAGTAGCATCTTTTCTATCTAGATTTTCATTTAACATTTGATAATAGTTGATGATGGAAGTTTGTTGCATTCCACATTTTTCTCTTTACTAGCAGAACTCCAGCAAAGAATAACAGCTTATTGACTTTTTAGTGGTAAAAAGAACTTAGAGAAAATTAACCAAACCCAACCCACTGCCATTGAGTTGATACCGACTCAAAGCAATCCTTTAGGACAGAGTAGAGCTGCGCTGTTTCCAAGGTATAAATGTTTACGGAAGCAGTCTGCTTCCTCTTTCTCCCACAGGGCAGCTGGTCAGTTCAAACCACCAACCTTTTGATAAGTAGCCAAATGCTTTAACCATTACACCAGAGCTTTTAGTATAGTGTAACTGTCTCTCTTTGAATGTGAAGTATATTTCTACATAAAACCAAAAAACAAACTCACTGCCATTGAGTCATTTCCAACTCAAGTGACCTTGAAGTTTTGAACTTACATATACTGGTGGCATAGTGCCTAAAGCGTTTGACTGCTAACCAGAAGGCTGGTGGTTCAAACCCACCAGCTGTTCTATGGAAGAAAGATGTGGCAGTCTGCTTCTGCAAAGATTTATGGCCTTGGAAACCCTATGAGACAGTCCTACTTTGTCCTAGCGAGTTGCTATGAGTCAGAATCCACTCAACAGCAATGAGTTTTTAAACCATTCTGGGCTAAAACTATAAAATATCTATCTTTGGTAGTAGTTAGGGAGCACTCCTTTTAAACTGTTAAATCATTAACAATTTCTTTAGAAGCATTTGACATATAAAAACCACCTTTCATTTCCAGGGTGCTCTTGAATCTTTCCAGAAAACTCATAAGATGTTCTTAAGTTATTGACTTAAGCAGACAATATGTCTGGGTACCCTTATGGGTCTTCTAGGAACACTGGTAGCACAATGGTTAAGCACTTGGCTGCTAACAGAAAGGTCATGGTTCAGATGCACCAGCGGCTCCATGGGGGAAAGACCTGGCATCTGTACTCACAAAGATCATAGCCTAGGAAACCCTATGGGGCAGTTCTGCTCTGTCACATGGGGGCACTAAGGGTCGGAGTCCACTTGATCACACACAACAGCAGCAACAACATGGGTCTTCCATGATGCAAACAGTTACTCACCTCAGGGTTGTCTCAGCGGAGCTGTCCAGGTCGTGTCTGTGTCAACCACAATGTGCAGGACTTGAATTAGTTCTTTATGTGTAGCTGGAGGAGGGAGAGGAGGTGATGTCTTCACAGGATCCTAGACTGGATAACTTAGGAGAGAGGGATGGAAACAGTTAACTAAAATACCCGGAGGTCTAAGTATGTGCTAAGTAAAGAGGTGTGAACAAGATTCTGGAAAAAGCGGAAGAAGTGATTAATTTTCTACTGGGGGAGGTGGGAGAAGGGGGTATTTGTGAGGGAAGGTGTTACTGAGGGGGTGGCAATTGAATATACCCTTGAAGAATATAGGGGAGAATGCTAAGGAAAATGTTCCACAGAAGGTGAGTGACAAACTGGTGCAAAAGAGAGGCACTCCCGAGGAACAGTGGGTGATCAGATTTGATGAGAGTGAGCGTAGATTTCATGGCTATCAGCCTAGCAGAGGGACCTTGAAACCATAGAGAGCTGGCCTGTCAGGGCGAGGGGTCTAGACCTCATTCATGAAGCAGAGAGCAGCCATCGAGAAATTTTAGCCTAGGGAATGATACAGCCTTTTTTTGGGGTGGGGGCAGTTTGGGTGGCAGGTGCATAAGAAGTGATTTCAGTGTGAAGATGAATTGAGGCAGAATATTCGAGTTTATTGTTATAGTCTAGGCCTGAGAGGGTAAAGGTCTAAATTGTGGCTGAGTGAGTAGAAACGAAGAGTATTGATGTACGTTGAAGGGTAGAAAATGAACTTTAATACATCTCCAAAGAGTAACTTTCATAAATCATTTGTCAATTACTATTGATTGATTTCCTACTGGGTGTACACATTACAGTGTATAGGGATAAATCAGAAATAATGCCTGTGCTCTGGATATTTAAAGTATTGTTTAACAGATAGACATTGAATTACTGCATAATCATGGTGAGAAACTAAAAAGGAGGACTATGTAACAGTCTAATGAATGATTCAATGGTTTGAAAAAAATGTATTATGGTAGAGTTTAACAAAATAACCTGGAGTTAATAAACACTGGTAATTTATTCCAAGATATCCCGGCACAAACATGTCTACCCATTCTATATAGCATAGAATTGCATCTGTATACATGGTTTTGTGCTAAGTTCTTGAAGGATGTTAGATCATGTTACACTAATACTTTGCAACAGTGATTGATTATTTCTTTAAATCTTTATTAGAAATAAACTCTTTCAGGAGGGAAAATCAGCATTTTTTAAAAAAATTCACCCATATTTCCTTTGATCAGTTATTAAAAAGTACCAAAGATAGTTTGTTCAGTAAGAACTAGAGGAGAAAATAATCTTAGTAGACAATTTCATGCTGTTAAATCTCTATAGATTTGCAGTTTTATCCAGTCAAATTAATGCAAAACCCCAATGCAAGCATTTGGATTTTGAAAACTTTGGAGGAGTGTCATTTTCTAATAGTAATTATTGGTTTTCCATTATTTTTTCACAGGGGAACTGATCACAGCCGCATATGAGCTTGGAGTAAGTATTCGTTTTATTGTTTAATCAATGCTCTCATTAACAGTTTTAGGAATTAAGAAAGTTTAATTAAGCATGGAGTAAAGTAGATTAATTTATTTTCAAACCCCAGTTTTTACTAACTTATAAGTACAGTACATGACAATTTACTTTAAGTTTTAAATCCAATTAAACTAAATTATAAAGCAAAGCCTTTACTATATATACAGTGGCTGGCTTATTACCCCAAATTTTGTATAAGCTGTGGAGAATAAAATAAATCGGGTTAACACTTTTAATAAGTTTATTATTTAATAAACTTTATTATGGTGCATGATCCCTTTAGGCAAGACCTTAGGACTGTCAGCATGGTGGTAATCCGATAGCGTGTGGTCTTTCAACTTTCTACCCAATACGATATTTCAGAACCAGCTTTTTTTCAATAGCCTTTTAAATGACCCTAATGTACTGTGAACCCAGAGAACAAACTGCTTAAGAACTGACAATGAAATATGTCACCCTTTCTCTAGGTAATGCACCATGTGATAGATGCTGCCAAATCCACTAAAGAAAATATTTATTTGTATTGGCACAAGAGGATTACAATAGAAAACCACTATTCAAACATTGAGTCATTGGTGCTTGATCGTTAGAGAAAAAGAGTTACTTTCCCATTAAAGCCAGTGTGACTATTCCTTTACAAGATGAAAACCTTCTAATTTGCTCAGTTTTCCGTAGGTTGCCCATCCTCCTGGCTACCCTTTGTTCACTCTGGTGGCTAAACTGGCGATTGAACTGTTTCCTTTTGGTTCAGTTGCCTACCGAGTCAATCTTCTCTGTGGCTTATTTGGAGCAGTAGCTGCATCATTACTTTTTTTCACCGTTTTCAGGTAAAGTAGTTGATAAGCTAAAATTAATTTTTAGTAATTGAAGATGTCGTGTTCTTATGGCCCAAGTAGATTACTTTTTTTTTTTTTTTTTAATGTTGTTGTTGTTGCTTGAATGGTTTTCCTAACTCATGTGATTTCACCTTCTCAAATGTAATGGAAATTTCATATGCATTTGACTCATACGCATTTGACCTCTCAAATGATTACGCGGTTGGTTCCGCTTCATACAATGGAGTGAAGGTGTCACCAGCTCATTATCACAATTCTCTGGTTAGGCAGAACTAATGAGGTTTGTCATCTTATGAAGATGCAGATGGGTCAGTTTAATTTAACAATATGAAGTTCATCTTTTGGTAAATGGTAAATATCACTTAATTAATCACAGCGCTGCTGATGGGCAGCTGCCCGTCAGGTCCAATGGTAATATCTAATTATATTGTAATCTAAGAATGAACATGTGAATTTTTTTTTGAGATGAGGCTGTTAGCTGAGGAAGTCAATTTGGGATGTGGTTTTATTAATGTTTCACTTTGTTCTTTCATAGTTCTAAAGAAGGTAGGCAAATTAGACCCCACTTTGTTGATGGAAAGCTTTCTTAGTTTGAAGGTACCGTGCTTTTAAAAATTGGTCATTAGTTTAGGATGTTGAGAAACTCATTTGTCTTTTATGTTTCTGGCTCCTGCATTCTTAACTCAGTCAAACCTATGCCTAAAAGTATTTAGTGAAAAATGTAAATTCTATTTTCTATAAAGGGGGGGGACCACTTCTTCCAAAAAGTATTATAGATTTTATTATAAAAATTTTTATTTGTAACTGAATTATAATTTGAATAGACATCATTTCAAATATGATTTTTGGACACTAATATTTTTATTAGTGTTGTTGTTGTTGTTGTTGTTATGTGCCGTCGAGTCGGCCCCGACTCATATTATTATTATTATTATTAGTGTTAGAGTCATGATATTGTCCTTTAGCTAAAATTCTTTCTAAATTTCCTTCTTCTTTATGGAAAGGTAAAAGCTAATATTGACTCTAAAATTTGCTTTTAAATTTGTTTGTTGAAAGCTTTCAGATTCAAATATTATGATTATTAATCATTTACTAAATATTGGTATTATTTCATTTGTTTCTATTTCAGTCTTACAGATTTTCAGTGATAACTAAATCTTTAAGTGTGAGGCATTGAAAATAAGATCTCTGCTTGTATTGATTAGTGTTACACATACTTTCTTTTTCAAAGTGGTTAGAAAATCTTTATTAGAATGATTCCTTCTGAGTCTTTTATAATTAAGAAACTGTCAGTTGAGAAAAACTGATCTTTTTTATTTTAAAACATCTTAGATGTTGGAAGTTAGAACTTACTTGTCCTCTATTTAATGTATGAGTTATTAATTTTCCCAAGATACTTTAGAGACATTTTAAGAAAACCAGGACTTATATTTATTTTGATAATTACTTGATATAATCCTTGTCTCTGAATTTTAGAAGATCCTTTAACATTCAAAATATATATATAGAATGTTATGTACCTATAAATAGCTACTATGCCAATAAGGTGATTAGTTTTCTAAAGTTTTTTCACATTTTTCAACATTTAATTGTTGATACCATTCTACATGAGAACCACTATAAAAATCATATAAAAGTATTTATCTTTACGGAATCCATATAGCTTTGTTAATTTTCATTTGAATTGTCTGCATTTTTGAACAGCTTTTATTAATTATTATACTCAATTATAATGTGTTTTAGATTAGCATACTAGCCTCCATCCCTTTTCTTTTAATATACAGTCTTAATGACAATTTTCTCTTCTTGCTGTAATGTGTTTTATATCAGAACTCTTAATAAAATTAAACAGAATATTTGGTGGTTCAATATTAGAGTACTTAGGAAATAAAAAGTTACATTTTTCAGGAAAGGAATCTAACAATATCATCTCTTACATACATTTAATATGAAAATACTTCATTATTGTGAATACAAATAATTGACAAGGTACACGTCCTAAGGGAACAACCTAGTTCAAGTGGCAAATCTGTTTTGTCAAACAATAGACACCCTTCAGAAAGGAGCAAGCCATCTCTATGGTAATGGGACTAACAGTAGCCTATTGATTGAGTGGAAGAAGACATTATACAATGTCAGCTGGCTTGTTACAATTTCATTTGTTGTATGACCTGAACTTAACCTTTAAAACCTTTCTTCCGTGAACATAAACCCAACAGCAGGACACAGTTCTGTACAGCCATTGCAGTGACAGCTCTTTTTCAGTGCCAGTGTACAGTAAATGTATTCCTTTACAGGTCGACTCCTTTATCAGAATTTGTTTAGAAGACATTTTATTACTTTATTCATTTACAGAACAAATCATAATTCCATTTTGTTGTTGAGTAGTGAAGGGTTTTGATCCAGGAAACAGTTTTAGTCCCTCCCCACACCCCAATCACTTAAAAGAACATTACTGTACATGTGGGATTAGTGCTGACTGGTGTGCAGTAAATTAATTCTTTTAACAGGTTTAAGTTTTTTTCAAGTAATTGTTCACATAGCATTCACTATATTTAGCTCTTGGGGTGGACATAAAGACCTTCTGTACCTTTTAAACAAAGATTGTATTTCAAAAGCAAATTCTGTTTCAATGTGTTAATGTAAAAAGCTCCATTTTTTTCAGGAAACATGACTTAGATTGAAAGAACAATTTATTCATTGTTTCCAATTACTGTGTAATTTTTGCTTTTCTTGCATCTTTTTCTTGCTTTTAAAATCCGTAAGGTGTCATTAACACTGCATTTTTGTCAATCTTTCCTGATGGTCGGCAAGAACTCATTCATATTTGCTCTGTTCCAGTGTAGAAAGCGTGTGAGGAAAATAGCACATAGAAAGCTATATGTATCACTGCAGTTTGTGGAATTAAAAATAGTAAGATTGTGACAGTTGTTTCTCTATGCATTTATTTATGGAATGTCACCTACCTTCAGGGAGTATTTTTAAGGCTTTATAAGCATTCAAGCATTGTATTATATCTACCAAACCCATTGCTGTTGAGTCAATTTCGATTTAGAGCAACCCTATAGGACAGAGTAGAGCTGCCCCATAGGGTTTCCAAGGCTCAGATCTTTATGGAAGCAGATTGCCACATCTTTCTCCTGCAGAGCAGCTGATCTTTTAATTAGCAGCCAAGTGCTTCACCACTGTGCCACCAGAGCTCCCTAAGCATGGACTGCTAACCAGAAGGCTGGCGGTTCAAATCCACCAGCCGCTCCCCAGAAGAAAGGTTGGGCAATCTACTTCTGTAGTGATCCCGCCTCAGAAACCTAAGGAGGTGTCACTATGAGTCAGACCGGACTCGACGGCAGTGAGTTTGGTTTTTAATTTAATACATTTCATTTTTATGAAATACTATTCATTTTATTAATGTGTACATCTATATATAAGACAATGTAATACAATGTGTGATATGTAGGAACTGGGATTTTCTCCTTTAATGCCATTGAAGTAAACCAAAAAAAACCATACTCACTGCCATCGAGTGGTTTCCAAGGCTGTAAGTATTTATGGACACAGACTGCCTCATCTTTCTTCTGCAGAGCAGCTGATGGGTTCAAATCACTAACTTTTTGGTTGGCAACCAAATGCCTTAACCACTATACCACCAGAGCTCCTTATTGCAGTAAAGGATTTTTAAATTTGATAGTATAGTATTTAAAGTGCCCTGTTCTATTTGAAATTCATAAATTCTACTAGTAAAAAATTAAAAAGTTCAAGGTAATATAAATCTTAGGAATATGAGCAATGTGTAACACTTTGAATTATGAAATTATCTTCTGAGGAACATTAGACTAGTTTTTATGTACTAAATGAGGAAGGAGTGCTGAAATCACTATCATTAAACATCTTCATGTTCCCATTTCATATGTTCTGGTGTCACTCCAAGAGAGTGGAGTAGGTTGATAGCATTTTATAAAAATTCTTCTTGGGGAAGATTTATATTGCTTATGATCTCAATGAGAGCATATCTTCTGTCACTTATTTTGATAGTTACAGGTCAGGGAATATATTCTCCACATGGGAGTCAGGTTATCTTTTTAAAGTGAAACTATAGAAGAATTCAGTCAACAATATTTGTTGAACACTTATGTGAACTGAAAGTAAAACTCTTTCACTTTTTATAATACAAATTCAGTGTTAATTTTAAAGAAAGATTTTAAAGTCACTAAGTACTACATAAGCAGTTTTTCAAATATTTTTCTTAAAAGCCCTGTTTTCAGGAAACTTACCTGAAAAAGCTTTCAAACACTAGTAAGTTTATACGGTAAGAAACCAGATCTCTTAATGTTAAGCAGGTTACTAAGACTACATGAATATTCATGATAATTAAAGGTGACTTGAAACTCTGCCTCCTTATTACAAGGAATGTACAATTAATTTCAGTTACATTTCTGTATCTTCTGGTACCTTGTTTTGTGCCAGTATTTTATTTGAGTTTTTATGTCTTTTAGAAGTCTTATATATGTAAGTATTATGCTACTGCTAAGAATTAATTTGATTAAACTTTTGGAAACTGAACACGTGATTCTGAGTAGTGTCTGCAATTCTCATAGCTTCAACTAAGGTTCCATTCAATAAAGAATTGAAAATTAAAATGCCATACCTTAGAGAATGTGGAATCTCCGCTTAAGGGACATTTGGATTTCGCAGCTTAAAGAGTATTTTAGATTATTGCTATAGAGGATAGTGTGAAGCTCTTCCTAATTTCAAAAGTAACTGTGCGTAAGTAACAAATTGTCACAAAGTTTTCGTAGTTGAAGAAGAATGGAAAGTACTGGAGCATTAATTTCCATTCAGGAGAATATCTGCCTTGATCCCTGGTTAATTGATCATATATTTCTCTCATACGCGTATTAAAATTGCATTGACTCGGACTGGTTAAGCATATTAAGAGCTTGCTTCATTTGCATGTTCATATAAGTAGAGGGGTATATTAGGCTCAAATAGCA